CCCTACACGCTGTTACAATTAGTTCGCATTTAATGTCACATGACTTATATATTCTTTTAATTTCAAAACTATATTTTTATGGTCGATTTTGTCTTTCATTGTTCTTTAAATTTTTAAAATAAAACCTTAGATGAATATGATATTGGCGAGATGCTCCTTCACATTTAACTTTCTAGTAGAATAGGCTGCATTACAGGCAATAACACCTTCCGCTATAACCACAGGGCTTTACAGATTGGTGGTTAATAGGGGCTAAAAATTTTATTTCATATCAATATCATACAAGGGCTAAGAATACAAAGCACCTGAATGAAAAGCAGATTTCATCACAAAGATCTTGAAAAGCACAAAGAAAAAGGCTCTTCGGTATTTGATCCTATTCTTTTCTTTATATTTCTCAAATAATGACTTTGAACCAACAAAATAAACATCACCAAAGAACAGCAGTAATAGATCACAGGGCCCATGAGAGTAAGTTGAAGAAAGAACGAAGATACAGATTTCATCACACATCAACAATACAAATTTTGGTTTTTAAAACCAACCTGGACAATGAATTGGTCAGGAAAAAATAAAAAAATAAAAAAAACGGTCAAAACTGTTGAATGGTTCGAATGGTTCAACCACCCGGGTCAGCGGTTTGTTGATCAAATCAACGTTTTTTGATAAAAATCTAGTTTTGGAGAAAAACAGAATCAATCATCTAACTAGTTCCCGGTTTTTCCAGTCCGACCATGCAGTCCGATCTGATTTTAAAAACCATGATTCACACAATTCAAGCTTTACATTAGCCTATGGAAAGCCATAAAGCACTAGTTTCATATACTTGAATACAAGTATTACCAAAAATAGTATGAAAGGTACTTGAACTTCGAAACCTTCTCCCATGGTCACCTCATAGTAACTCCCAAATGATGGAATACCTCATCAAATTACCCCACCTTATTATAAATTTATTTTATCCTTCAAAATTAGTTTTCACCCATTGCCCAATAGAGTGAAGTGTTAAGAACTAAGAAATGTTAGAAAAGAGAAGAGAGATATTGAGGAGAAAGAATTCTCTTATTCCGACTGAAAACAACATTGGCTATTTAAATAGTCTTACATGACAAATAGAACAAGAATTAAGCAACCCATGTCTAACAACTCCTAGAAACATGGTAAGACTAAAACAAACAAATAATGACTCCCTTAAGAATAAGGATTTATTGGACTAAGCAGTAACAAACCAACTCAACATGAAGAAGGGAGATTTTTCAGTAGAAAAATGGGAGGGAAAGAGGCTGATGATATGGTGAATAGAATGAAAAAGTGAGGGATGATAGGAGATTAGGAAGGAGAAAGAACTTCTAAGCTTGGAGGAAGCCATTTGGGTGGGTGGGGATTCTCTAATAAACGATGATGTATTAGACGATTGGGTTTTATTTTGAGCTCTTGAATTCTTTTATTAGTTGGGTTTTATTTTGAAAATTTAAAAAATAATGGAGGGCAAATTTGTCATTTTACTTTTCGTCAATACTTAATGGTGATATCCATTGTTAGAATACTTAAGGGTACCTTAAGTGATTTTTCAAACACTAGGATAAGTTTTTGTCCATTAACTAAACCATAGGGGTACTTTAAGTATTTAACACTAAATAAATTAAACAACAATAAGTAGTCAAAATATGAGATATAGTTGAAATCATAAAAAAATACAAAATATTTTCAGAAAAAAAAAGAACTTCAAAAGGAAACAAAACTATTAATTTTTTTTTAGCATCTTATTATAAGCCAAGACCAAAGAGAATAAAGGGAATGAGGAGTTACTAGTGAGGCAGTGAATTGATACCTAATTACAGGAAGAAGTGGCAACAAAACCTACTCCTTTGTAGAAGTGGCAACGGGCAGGTTTGGGGTGGGCCCCCATCCTTGCTCTATAGTCAAAATACTTTTCCCCATCCCCGTCCCATCCCCGATGGCATGGTAGGGTACCACTCCCCATCGAGGATGGGGAATCTCTGAATTTTCCTCATTCTGAGGCAATCACTTAAAAAATAATATAATTTATGAATATTTTACAAATAGGATTATGGAAATTTAGGGGGTACTTTAGGAATTGAATTATTACAACTTAGAGGAACTTTAGAAATAGAATTATGAACCTTAGGATTTTAAGAATTTCGAAAAAACTTAGATGTATTTTAAAATCAATATTTAATATAGCGATATTTTATTAATTAACCATCAGGTTCGGGGCGAGGCAAAGAATTATATGCAAATCCCATCTCTTGGTTCAGGGCAAAAATATTTTCTCTATCTCTGTCCATCCCCATTTAAGAGCAAAACCCATCCCGTTTGAGGTGCGGCAGGGCCCCGGTTTTAAATGTATCACTAGTGTGAACTTTCAATCCCTGTTTCCTTTGTTTGAATTGGGCTTGAGCTAGCAAGGTGGGACTTGATTGCAGGTCCAGGCCCAGGTTTCATCTTTCTGGGTTGGGCCTAACCTTGGCCATCTCACAAAAGTGGGTGTTTTTCACTAGAGGTAGGGGTGTTCACGGTTCATTTTTTTTAACTAAACCGGTACTACTGGTTTTAGAAAATTGGTAATCGAAGCCAGTCAATTAATCGGTTGACCGATTTGGTTAACCATGGGTTTGGTTCGTCGATTTTTCAATTTTTTAATTTTTACAATATATATTATAGAATATATATAAATGTATAATAAAAATTAGGTAAATTACAAAGACACCCTTGTACTATGGGGTTAGTGACAAAGACCCCCTCCGTTAGTGTTCCGTTAGCTATCTTTAAAAAAATATTTTTATTTAACTATTTTATTTTTTTTAATCTCCAAATTACCCTTTTCTTATTTATTTGAATGGTGAGAAAGATATCTTCAACCAAACTGCCATAGATATCCATCACCACACTAAAACTGTAAAACGTAAAGCAAGAACCATTAGGAACCCGGTTCATAAACGTACTGAGAATATCTAAAGAGGACAACATGTAGGATCCAAGAAGTGACTCTGCACTGATGCCTTTGACGACATCAAAAATAATCATGCGCTCCAAATTCTGCAACAAAAAAAGTTAGAATTCAGTATTCCCTACAACTGATATTAGACTTTTGGGCTTAATCTTATCATGAATTGACGTCCAGTTATGCTCTTTCCGCCCTTCAATAGTTTTGAAAAACACTAACTAAATTTGAGATGCAAATGACCAGAATTCAACCAAAACACAGAAGCCACACGCATACTCTCAACTCAGAATTATGCTTAAGAAACACACATGCACTTTGAGTTTATATCTTGGATCAATTTGTCCAAAGTTGCAAGAAGAGGAACCTTCCTTGCTGACATTCCATTACAACAAAAATGGTCTGGTTTCCCCTGAAATTCTATTGCAACCTCTTCACTCGAATGACCTTCTTCTTATCAATATGAACCGATAGCACCAAATGCTTCAATCCCTCTTCTCCGCTACATCTGATCAAAATGTCGCGAGACATCTCACTATTGCAGAATTGTTCTTTGGTCGAATACGGTGGGTTGCCTGAGAAATGTTCTACTCGTGATACTAGAGAGAACTAGGCAGCTGGAAAGATACCCGATTTGATCTTCTTGTCGATACAAGTGACTGCATCTGCATTTTGGATCAAAGGGATCAATGATAATGATATTAGAGGACGACAACCCTATGTTGAACTACCTCCGCAAGAAGAGTCGTTCACTTGTATGGCATATTTGCTGACACAACAAGCTATCTCTCATTACAGAAAGCACCCAAATGAAGAAAATCAGAATTTGGAGATGTGTTCTGATATCAACGGTCTTAAAGTTAGATTTTTTTTGTTCCTTTTCCGGTGACAATCAAATGTGTTTTGGGTAATTAGGTTTTAAGAAAAAACGGTAAAAATAAGAAAATAGAAAAAAGTTTAGTGGGGTATTTTGGTAATTTAACACCTTCCATCATCTGACTTAACGGTTAAGGGGGTATTTGTCACAAAGTAAAAGTACAGGGGGGGTCTTTGTTGCAAATTAAAGTACAGGGGGTTTTGCCACTGACCCCATAGTATAGGGGGTCTTTGTAATTTACCCTAAAAAATTATAAATATATATAAAATATTATATTTTAAATAATAAATAATTTATCATATATTATAAATATATATATTTATGTATATAATGCATATTTATTAATTTATAATATATACAAAATATTCAAGTATATATACAATATATATATATATGTGTATAGAAATATATGTATACCGGTCGGTTTGGTTAACTGCCGGTTTTCTATATTGGTTAACCGAAAGCGAACTGACCGGTTCGGTTAATCAATTTTTTGGATTTTTTGCTCAGCCCTAAGAGGTAGGGGTGTCCATGAAAAACTGAAAAATCGAACCAAACCGAGAAAACCGAACCGCAAAATACGGTTAACCGAACTGGTTGGTTCAGTTTCAATTCGGAATTTTTGAAGAACAGAAGGACCGGTTTGGTTTTCGGTTAACCTATAAAAAAACCGATGGTTAACCGAACCGACCAGTATATATATTTATATGTATATTTTATAAATACTTTTAATATATGTCACATATTTTCTATGTATTTTATATAAATATATATTCATTATATATAAATATATACTTATATTATATTTATAATGATCTATTTACAAATATATTATATATTTTTAAAATATTTATAATATATTATATATCATTTATTATNATATTATATTTATAATGATCTATTTACAAATATATTATATATTTTTAAAATATTTATAATATATTATATATCATTTATTATTTATAATATAATATTATACATATATTTATATAATATATATTATAAATATAAAAAACCGAAAAACCGAAGAATCGAACCGGTCAAAAACCGAAACCGGCGGATCGGTTAACCGGTGGTACGGGTTCGGTTTCGGTTTGGCAAAATAAAAAACCGGTACTACCGGTTCGATTTACAAAAAGGGGCCATGGTTCGGTTAACCGAACCGTGGACACCCCTACTAAGAGGTAGAGCCGCCGCATTGCTCCCACTCTCTGAGGAAGGAGAAGGACGAACGCCTCTGGGCTGCAGATTGTAGCAGAGCAGTCATGGTCGGTGTCGGTTTATGCGTTATTTCATCTATCTTCTTTGTCTTACCTTCTTTATTCATCGTCTATTCTGTAAAGTTTCCAATATTTTCTCTCCATCTTTCAGGTGAAGTATTCCAGGGAGCCGGACAATCCAACCAAGTGTAAGCATTTTAGAGCTGTCATTCTCTAATTCTTAGTTACTTTTCAATTACTGTTCGGATGTGCCATAAACATTCTAGGGTTTCTCAGTGTCGTCTTGCGTTGCTCCTGAAAAACCTTTTTTTTTTTTTCTGAGTTTTTTTTGGCGCCTTTCTTGCTACCAGTACACTATATTTCACTGGATGTATTGCTCTTATGTGCTTTTCTCCGAACAGTGTTTTTGATTTATTTTCGCTTTGCGTGCTCTGATTTGTTTCCTGGCGTTCATTTTGCAGCCTGCAAGGCCAGGGGCTCGGATCTAAGAGTTCATTTCAAGGTGCGTTGATCTGAAGTTGTTCTTACCTCTCTGCTTTTGTTGAATTGCTGATTCGAATTGTAATGCATTTTTTTTTTTCATTATGGTTTTGTACTTTTGTTCTCAACACTGTATCATCATTGTTATTTGTGAAAATGGAAAAGAAATTTGGCTCATGGCTTAGTACTTGGGGTTGTAGAGAAAACTTGTTATTGCTATTAATTTTTTGTTTGCTTATAAGGTTTAATGGACTAGCATGATTCAAGATCCTTTGCCCTGGTGATGATCCGATCTGCTGTACTGCGTAGAAAATGAACTAGATACACTTTTTGTTACTAGAGTCCAAAAGTTTGAATGATGAAATGGGACGATTATAACCATTTGATCAAGGACTGAAACTTTTATATATGAACATTTGTTATGCTAGGAACATGGATTTATGAGTTAGTTGGCTCTGCTGATGAATTGTGAGTCTGTATTTCCCTTTGGGGTTCAACTAGCATGCCAATTAATTGTCATACTTGTTTGGTTACTTTCTTCTTAGAACGAGGTAATGCTGAAACTTGCATTGGTTCTTTTGATTGGTTTCCACACCTGATGAAAAGCAGGGTCCTGTTGCCCATGTGAACAGGTCTCTCGTAAACTTCAGGGAAATTGTTCACATTGTTATTGGGTGAACCTCTGTAAGTGGTTTTGATGACAGAAGGTTCAGTAAATGATGTTACATTATAAACACAATTTGATGCTTTATTTGGGGTTCAACTATTCAACTAGTGTGCCAATTAATTATCATACTTATTTGCTTAACATTCTCCTTAGAGGAAGGCAATGTAGAAAATTGTAATGATTTTTTTTTTAATATATGAAAAAGATTAAGAATTGTTCTATTTTTTCTTAAGATGTGTTGAGTTCATTATCCAAATTACTGGATCTTAACTGTCTTAACTGTACAAGAGGGTATAATTAGTACATTGCATACTTTGTGTATTTACTGTTTTTTTTTCTTACTTGGATGTTTTGGAAATACAGAACTCATGCCCTATACTTATTTTCTCAGAACACCCGGGAGACAGCACATGCAATTAGAAAGTTGCCTCTGGCCAAGGCTAAGAGGTATTTGGAGGATGTGTTGGCCCACAAGCAAGCCATTCCATTCCAACGCTTCTGTGGTGGTGTTGGTCGAACAGCTCAAGCTAAAAACCGCCATCCAAATGGGCAGGGACGCTGGCCTGTTAAGTCTGCCAAATTCATTCTAGATTTGCTTAAGAATGCTGAGAGTAATGCTGATGTATGCTTGATTCTAGCTCGTTATTGATTTTCTTTTTTCTAATTTTTTGCAGTTAAACTATATACATGCTAAAGCTTACTTAATACCATTATTTTTTTTCCAGGTGAAAGGTTTGGATGTGGATTCGCTGTATATTTCACACATCCAGGTAAACCAGGCCCAGAAGCAGAGACGTCGCACATACCGTGCTCATGGGAGAATTAATCGTGAGTTTTTTTTTTTTTTAATTTTGTTATAAAATATTACATTCTTTTTTATGGTTTTGGCTTCTGGCTCTTAAATGTGATTAATTATTTTGTTTCACAGCCTATATGTCTTCTCCTTGCCACATTGAGTTGATTTTGTCTGAAAAGGAAGAAACAGTGAAGAAGGAGGTAATCAGTATCATTTTATCATTTAAATGTATTTATGGGATAAACTGAAGAACTAGGGCATGGAAATGATGGTTTGTGTGTTGTGTAATTGTGAATAGATTAACCGACTCAGAAGTAATTTTGCTTTTCTGTAGCAAAACAACTCTTTGTATTTAGTTTTTTTTTCTTATGTTGGATCATTTTGCTTTTGCAGCCTGAGACTCAGTTGGCTCCAAGAAAAACTAAGAAGGCTCAAGCTCTAAGAAGTGGTGCTTCTTCTTGAGTGTTTTGTCCGGGGGTTGGTTCCTAGTAGTTCTTAATCGTTTCATTGTCCTCTTTCCCAGACTTTAGTTTCTTAAAAATGTTTTGTTTTTTAGTATTGTTGGTGTCTGTTGAAACCAATCGCTTTTCTGATTTATATTTCATCAGTGTTCTATTTGGTTTACTTTTTGGGTGGAATTTTTTTTTATAGTTATTAAATTAGCAGTGGAAAAATCTGCAGTCTGCACATGTAATTCCTCCAATTATCTTCAGAAGATGTCTTTTGATGGATTAATTCGACAAAACAACCATCATGTGGTCTAGTAGACTACTCGAATTCAGTCATAGTCTACTAGACAAGCAAAATATTTGAAGTTGAAGCTGGGATGGCAGCCAGCAGTTTTACCATTACACTGGATAGTAGAAACAGTGTCAAGGTTGCATCATTTGTCAAAATACCTCGGTTAGAGCCTTGGAACTGTGATTAGAAAATATCCCATGATCCCATTCTTTTTGATAAGGGTCACGCCCCTACTGAATGGACCGTGAGTTATGGTTTCTGTGGAGGCCATGGATTCAGCAAATCCAGATGATTCCCTCAAAACTATTCAGCAACAAAGTGAATTCTTTTGTAGATGGACTGTAATTTAATTAAAACTTGTCAAGTGCCATGAAATTCTAAATTACTTGCAGTAACTTTTGAAAAGTTTCTGTGGGCCTTTTAAGTTAAACCTCTTTTTTTCCCCCTTTTCTTGGTAAACTGTCTTTGAGCCTACTACCTAGTTGCTTTTAGATGCAGGAAGAAACTTCTGTGTTTCCATTTTGATAAACAAGCATCTGATAAATTACCATTCTTTGATATCATCTATAAACATGCCATAAAGGGCCCACACATGGTGCTATGGATCATGAAAATGGTAGTCTTTTATTTTAAGGGGAAAATCTATGGTATGGGAAAGGTATCATTTTCATATCATATCGGATGACTTCAACCAATCCACATTCAACTTGCCTCTTTCGGTGAATATGGCTTATCCTAGGTGGCCAGTTTCAAAAACAACCATGTAAATCGCATTTCAAAAAAAGTATTTGAAACTCAATTTTACCATTTGTCCCTTTCCCTCTCCCTTCTCCTCCTCCTCCTTCACTGCCTTCTTACTTTTTAGCAGTGACAAATCAAGTTGCCTCAGTCCTTAACCAGCGGTAGCGATAGCCCCTCACTCACTCACTCACTTGCTCGCTCGCTCGCTTGCTCTCTCTCTCTCTCTTCCCCATCGTTCTCTCTCCCTTGTTTCATCACCACCCCTCAACTCGAGTTGCAACAATGGATCCCTCCACCTCCGGTCCCTCTCCCACTCACTCACTCTCTCTCACTCACCCTTATCGATTAAAATCACTATGGGCCTTGCAACTTACTAGCAACGACGGTGATCTTCTTCCTCCACCCTTCCCTTCTTTGTTCTCCCTCTCCACCTTTCCTAAGAGATACTTAGATATGGTTCCTTGATTTGATCATGCAATACCCATAAATAACCAAGTTGTATCCATTATACTTGGAAAGCAGGATTTCAAATGCCATATCAGTGAACAGTGTGCATCACAATCCATCCACCACATCCATTCCACCTTTGGATGTGACAACATAAGCCGCCAGATCAATAGCAGCTTTGCCAAATACCCAACGAACTCCTTGTCAAGATGTACCAAATTGTAAACAATCTCAAAGTCATTGGATCCCCAATTGAATTATTGCATGGGTTCAGAGGAGATCCTATTACAAACAAGATTCGAGCCAGGCCTTCTGCCACTGTGTTGTCGAGCCAGGTCTTCCACTCTTCATTCCAATTTGAGATCTTGGGGCCAAGGGTGTTGGTGATGTTAGGATTTATCTCGGTCAAGGCAAGATCATCTGGGTTAGAAGAGTCACCTTCAGAATGAATCTCAACGAGGTTGTTGAAGGTCTTGAGGATCTAACGACCGCTACCTGTCTCCACAAAGAGATGGTCGCCGATCTGTTGCAAGTCAAACTAGGGAATCGAATCCTTGACATCAAGGATAAGCTTCTTGGTTTCGATTTGCTCCGACACTCTGTACCCTCCCAATCTCGACGTAGTGGCGGAGTAGCGACACTCACTTGGCTCTCACTCCAACAAAGCTGAACAACTTGGGTTCTCACTCCATCAAAGAACAATATTGAAATTGAGAATGCCTTATCATAAGTGGTGCAACGCTGAACAACCTATTGGGACCCCAGTAGTGCCAACATTAGAGGTAGGGTTACTGGACCTAGACCTAGGTAGCGAAGACCAGACTGAGGAAGATGAAGAAGAATTGGAGGAGGTTCCAATTTGAATTAAGGGCAAAATGAGCATTTCAGCCCTTCTGTCAATATTTTAACAACAATGGTAATTTTTTTGAAACAATAGGGGTAGTGTTAGACAATAGTTATATACTTAGGGCCTGTTCGTTTGCTCTGAAGTCTGACATATGATAGTGCAATAATTATATTAAGAAGTATATTGGTATTGGTGAATGTAGAGATAACTAATAGTTTTTAGTGTGTGTGTGTGGTTCCAGCCCCACACTTATTTTTATTTTGTTGATTTTCTTTCTTATTACAGCTGGGCCAGATGGGCTTTATTTATGTTTGCTTATTAGTCTTTTATTTTAAGTAGGGGTATTAGAGTAACTTCTACCTTTGTAAGGATATATATAATTTGTAATGGGGTGGCATAATCATCTAACCAAACCCCTTCTTTCTTTCTCTCTTATCTTTTTCTCTCTTTTTCTTTCTTCTTCTCTTCGAAGCTTGGTGTTTCCTTTCTTTTCTTGAATTACATCAGACCACAGTTTTGTTCTATTTATTTTTATTCAAGTTAGTATCAGAGCTCTTGGTGAGAAAGACTAGGGTTCTCATGTGAGCATGATCTAGTTGGCTACATGAGAATTCTTTAGATCAAGACTTTTGTAGTAGTGCCTGGTTCTTGGAGGTTACTGGAGTGTTAGAATTTCAAACTAAGGTGGCAATCAGAGTTTTTTCTGAGAAAGGTACAACCTTTAGTTAAGCCAATCTTGATTAGAAGTTGTCAAGACCCTTTTTAGGCAGTGGTTGATAAGTCTGAGTATTCTCTGTTGTTTTCTCTCTTGTCTAAAACCCTTCGACCTTCTTTTTGAGGATTCAAGGACTATTTTTGACTGTTAATGAACTAGAGAGTTGATTTTTTGATTGTGATTGCATTCTTGAAAAGGAACTATCAACTAAGATCAAGTTCTTGGTGTTATTCTTGCTGAGATTAATTTCCGGGTCATTTTCTCTAAATGTTTTTAGTGTTTCAGTAGAAAAAGAAATCTTTTTCTTGGTATTCTTCTTGGAGTTTTTGGCCTATTAGTGCTCTCTTAGAACGGAGAAGTTTGGAAGTGAGTTAAAAACTCAAGGGGAAGGATTTTTTGGGACTGATAACATGACTGAAGACTCATTTCAGATTACTACTGTTAGGTTTGATGGAACCAATTACTTGGAGTGGGCCCAATTAGCAATCATGACTATTGGAGGTAGAGGTAAATTAGGCAATGTGACCGGAGACACAAAGAAGCCAGCCAAGGATGATACATCACATCCAAAGTGGGTTCAAGAGAACTACTTGGTAATGACTTGGCTATGCAATTCTATGCAGCCCTGCATCTGCTGAAACTACCTTTGGGCAAAAACAACCAAGGGGATTTGGGACAGCATGAAGGAGACTTATTCCCAACCACTTAATGTTGCTAGGGCTTATGAGCTGAAATGTGAAGTGAATAACCTCAAGCAAGGGGAGAAGCCAGTCTTAATGTACTTTGCTACTCTAAAATCCCTTTGGCATGAAATTGATCACTTGGAAACTATTGAATGGGAAAGTAAAAGGGATACAACAACATATAGAAAACTGATTGAAACAAATAGAATGTTTGAGTTCTTAGCTGGTCTAAACTCAGATTTTGACATTATAAGACAACAACTTCTCACTAGGGAAAGCGTGACTTTATCTCAAGCCTACTCATTGGTTCATAGTGAAGAGAGTATGAGGAAGGTTATGCTATCATTTTAGCCAACGGAAGCAGCCTTGGCAGTAAAAAAATCTAAGGTTGGAGGGGATAAGGAAAGGGAAATTAAAAAGGAAGACAAAAGAGACATTTTTTGTGATCATTGTAAGAAGCCTAAACACACCGGGGACACTTGTTGGAAGTTGCATCCTCACCTAATGCCAATGAGACTTAGAAACAAGAAGGGTCACCTAATGCCAATGAGACTTAGAAACAAGAAGGGGAATGCTAATGTGGCAACTACTACTGATAGTGCATCTACTTCCAGCACAAGGACCACATCCTTAGATGCCTTAGCTGCTATCTGGTTGCATTGACACGGCTAGAGAATGAAGCTGGTATTTCTGGATCCTCATCTCAGTCTTCAGCCACCACATTTGCTCATCCTACTTAGCCCTTGCTCACACAGGTACAAGAGCTACAACATATCATACTTCAGTCCCAAGTAACACTAGACCATTCTAGGTAATAGATTCAGGTGCATTAGAACATTTGATCAGTTTATCTTCCATGTTTACCACCTATTGTTTATCCTCTATCAGAGACAAAGTATCTATTGTTGATTGCTCTCTTGTGCCGATTTCTTGCAAGGGAGACATCAGACTGTCTAATGTCATTTCCCTATCCTCAGTTTTGCATGTTCCTAAGCTTATTGCTAACTTGCTTTCAGTTAGTAGTATTACTAAGAATCAAAACTGTTAAGTGGCCTTTTTTTTCCTAATTGTTGTGTTTTTCAGGATTTGGAAACAAAGAAGGTGATTGGGATTGGCTGTGAGACGAATCGAGTCTACTTGCCTGAACATCCATAAGGGAAGTAGAGTGAAATTGGGAAATTGTTTGTTTCTTAGTCTTGGAGTCAGATTATGGTTTGGCATAATTGTTTAGGTCATTTGTCTTTTGGGTCTTTGAAGAGTATGTTTCCAAATTTATTTGAGTCAGTTCAAGTGTCTAGTCTGAGGTGTGAAAGCTATGAACTTGCAAAACACTATAGATTAACTTATCCTTTGAACAATAAAAGAAGCAATCTTCCTTTTGAAATTGTGCATACAGATGTTTGGAGGCCATATCATACTCCTACCATGGGGGGTGTAGATATTTTTTGTTATTTGTTGATGATTATACCCATTTCTCATGGGTTTACCTTAAGCACTCTCGAGATGAGGTTCGTT